ACGCAGAACCTGAGAGAGCAGACTCACCAGCACCTGAGGGAGCAGACGCACGAGCACCTAGAGCAGCAGCCTCGCTAGCACCTAGAGCAGCAGCCTCACCAGTACCTAGAGCAGCAGACTCAATGCTCGGGTCGGGCGGAAAACACCGGTAACAGTCACCCTCATCACTAATAGTCACAGTATACATGGCAGCAAGAATAGCATCAAAGTCAAGGTCAAAGACAGCTACACCCGCCCTAGACAGCTCACCCCAGCGGGGGATCTCAGTGGCCTCAGGGAACTGGTGACGCCAAGCGTCCGTCAGGCGGCCAAAGCAGCGCTGGGTGGAGTGCGCACCCCAGCACTGCTCACCCGCGCGGTCTCCGGTGCGTAGGACGTAGGTGCACGGACCAGTACCCCCACCCCGCTGGCGTGCAGCGTACCACTCACGGAGCTGCTGAGGGGGGGGGATGTCACGAGTGCGCTACTGCTGCTGCAGCTGCTGCTGCTGGCGCTGACCACCACCGGAGCCGACCCTCTGCGCAGCGCCACCCCGACCAGCTCCACCTCCTCCGCCGCCGCCTCCTCCACCGCCGCCACCTCCGCTCCCACCGCCACCGCCGCCGCCGCCTCCGCCTCCACTGCCGCCACCGACACCTCCACCCCCGCCACCACCCCCACCGCCACCCCCACCCCCTCCACCGCCTCCACCGCCGCCTCCACCGCCCCCGCTAGCTCCTCCAGTGCCCCTGCCCCCCTTGCCCTTGCCAGGGCGGCGTCTCCCGCTAGGGGTAGACGCCGCACCGACCGACTCAAGCCCAACGAGGTCGGCCGCAGCAGCAGAGGCAACAGAGGGCAAAAGGGGGGAGGGGGAACACCCCTCAAAGATGGGGGTGCGAGGGTCACCACGAGAGGCTCCTACAGCTGCTATGCTCTTTTCTGCTGCTAGGAGGGCCTTCTCGAGGAGGTCAACGGTGAGAGTGGTGGGGCAAACTGAGAGGAAGTGGTCCCTGACTACGCGAAGGGAGTCAGGGAGCCGGGTGACTATGTAGTAGAGGGTGATGTACATGGGGGGGGGGTTCTTGGCGCAGAACTCAGCAGGAAGCGCAGCGCGGTAGCGAGTGTCACTAGTGCGGAGGTGCGTAATGAGGTCAGCGACTGTGGGAAAGGCAGCAAGGTCAGGGAAGAGGTACGGTAGCATGAGGCGGCTCAGTGCAGCAGTGGCAGGGGAGGAGTAGCGCGCAACTACAGCGTCGTACAAGGTCTGAGCACTCTTGTACTGGCTAAAGTGCGCACGCTCAGAGGTAGGCAGGTGGCGACGCACAGCAAGACGTGCAGCAGCATCGCGAGTGGCCCACTGTGAGCGAACAGTGGCGTCGGCATCAGCAGCAGGGGCAGGAGAGGCACCAGAGGTGAGGTCAAAGAGGGAGAGACCGTCTGCCCTATCGCACTGTAGGAAAAGCTGCAGGTCATCTACCCAGACGTCAAAGTCAATGGCCCGACCCTCAGCGTCAAAAGCGAGGACACTAGGGGTAGCCATGACAGCAGTAGACTAGCAGCGCGAACAGTAGGGTAAGGGCAGTGCAGTGACAGAGGCGCTGCTCTTACCAGACAGGGCGGCTCGGGTGGCTCGGCGGCTCAGCGGCTCGGCAACTCGGCGGCTCGGGCGGCTCGGGCGGCTCGGCGGTACGGCGGCTCGGCAGCAACAGCGGCTCGGCGACTCGGCGGCTCGGGCGGCTCGGGCGGCTCGGCGGTACGGCGGCTCGGCAGCACGGGCGGCTCAGGTGGCGCGGCGGCTCGGGCGGCTCGGGTGGATCGGGCAGCTCGGCATCAGCTCGGCGGCGCCGGCGGCTCGGTGGTGACGGCGGGGCCGCGCGGGGAGCTGCGGCGGGGCCGGGTGGAGCGGCGCCGGTAGGGCCGAGGCGCACCGGCGGGTGCAGTCAGCGGCGGCAGCAGCTGCGGCCCCGAGGGAGGTGGTGGCGGCTGCTGCTGGCGACGGCTGCGGCTGCTGCTGCAGGGACGGCGGCGGCCGCTGCTGTAGGGACTGCGGCGGCTGCTGCGTCAGGGGCGGCGACGGCGGGCCGGAGGGGGGCGGCGACAGGGCCGCGAGAGGCCGCGAAGGGCGGCGAAGGGGCCGTGAAGGGCGGCGCGAGGGGCCGCGGAGGGCGGCGACGAGCCGTGATAGGGCGGCGCGAGGGGCCGCGGAGGGCGGCGACGGGCCGTAGGGGGCCGTGAGGGGCCGCGGGAGGGGCCGTAAGGGGCGTAAGGGGCCGTGCGAGGGGCCGTAAGGGACGGCGCGAGGGGCCGTAAGGGGGGCCGCTAAGGGCGGCGCGAGGGGCCGACGGGCGGCGCGAGGGGCCGTAAGGGGCCGTAAGGGCGGCGCGAGGGGCCGTAAGGGTGGCACGAGGGGCCGTAAGGGCGGCGCAAGGGGCCGTGAGAGGGGCCGCCAAGGGCGACGCGAAGGGGCCGTGAGGGGCCGTGAGAGGGCGCGACGGTAGGGAGGGCACACAGGGCGCGACTCGGGCAGGAGCGAAGCGCGCTCCGGGCAGGAAAAAAAAAATTCGTGGTGGGTCCTAGGAAGTGTTCCCACTAGGGAACCTGCTCGATACCATGAGAAGAAACGAGGAATGGAATGACTAAAGGAAAGTTGGGTACAAAAGCAAACCCTAGAAAACTGTACCCCATATGTGTTACCCCACTATAGCCTACAGTAGCTATGTCATATAAATCTGACACTCGTCATGTACGAGGTAGCAGCAATGGCGGGCGAGTTAGTCTAGGAGGGTGGAAAAGTTCCCTAGGTGTGCTGTTCTAGATTCAGATCTAGAAATGATTCGACTAGGTGGCAGGTCTGTGGACCTGCCACGAGATAAGGAGCAGATGACTCCTTACTGCATAATCCTTTACAAGTCTTGTCATAATCTTTAAATTTTGAAAATTGTATTTAAAAATTTTACATGTTTGTGCGGGTCAGTTTGTGCAGGTCAGTTTGTGCGGGTGTGTTCATGTCAGTTGGTTGTTTCACGGGGGGTTGTTATGCTGATATGCACCGTGTTTGTGATTTGAGGTTGTCATTGTCGTTGGGGCAGCGTGTTTTCGCTGTTTCAACAACCCCATCAATCTCAGTCGCAGCATTGGTGTATATTGAGCACCCACTTCGATCCGTTCACAATTGTTACGTGGTGTTGCACCCTTTTACGAGCGTTTGCATTTGTGTTTGTGGGATGTGTGCTTCAAAGTGTGGTGTTACTATGTGGCATATATGTAATTAGAGGTTGTTAATCGTCTTTGGGGCAGCGTGCTTTCGCTGTTTCAACGACCCCATTCATTTTGAAGTAACCACTCCACCTCATACCTTGTTGTTCATTTGTACAACTGCATTCGTGCATGTTGATACCAGAATATTATGTTTGGCCGTACCATCCGCCGTATTTATTGACGATGCTGGGACGGTCGAGCAAGTTCATGGTTTCAACATGATACGTACGGTATTTGGTTTCACATATGGGAATCTCATTTGAGAGTGCTTTTGTTCACTATTTGAGGCATCCGTTTGAACACAGTTCCAAACATTCAAACGTGTGCTCCAAAAAGTGCGTAAAATATCACTTCTCAAATGATATCCCCAAAATGTCAAACCAAATATAAAGGGTTGCTACGCAACCCAAAAAAAAAAAAAACCAACAGGATTCCTTCTGGCGTGTTCACCGATGCCACTATGCAGCCAATTGCCTTGTTGCTCACTCCTACCCATATTCCCCGGGAAAGTATATCCTAGCTCCTTACTTTCAGATTTCTCTCATATTAGGTACCGGTTCACTCGAAAAAGTACCACTTTCTAGAATTTCTCTCACGCGAGGCCCAAAGTACATCTGGTCCTGCAGGGCTAACCTTTCGACACGTGTCCGTTTTCACCAGGAATTTCTGACGGGGTAGAAAAGATAAAACTCCTAGGGAAACCAGGACTTCTTTTCGGGAGGGATCCACCCTAAACACGGGAACCCGCTTGGTGTTTAGGGTTGATCCCTCCCGAAAATGTGTCCGGTTTCCCAAGGAGTATTATGGTTTTTTGCCCCGTCAAAATATTTCTGGTTCGAAATGGACACGTGTCCAATTGTTTTCCCGGCAGGACCAGTTTTGAACATAATGTGGGCCTCGCGTGAGCTGAATTTCACAAAGGTAGACTTTTTTGGGTAAACTTAAAACTAAATTTGAGATATTTCTGAAACTAAGGAGCTAGGATGTACTTTCCCATATTCCTCAGTCCCTTTCCTTTCCGACTCCCGTTCCGTGACTAGGGCTGTCCTACGGCATATTTAGAGGTTGATACAGGACTGTAAGAGCGTGTTACACCCAAGCAAAGATCGCTGCATTTTCAGGATCGCGAAGGCAATCCTTGCAGAACAGAATCATACCCACTCACTATACAGTAATCACTGTGTCAGGTGCTGTACCAACACGCAACCACGGTAATCTGTGCTACGCAATCTTGGTGTTTTCTGAAAGACCATGGTGACTGCCAATCTCTCGGTGATCTTTGCATCTTTGTACCAAAAGACAGGGTATTCCTCGGTGACGAAATTATAAACGTCGCAAAGAACCGTAACATTGTCGTGACTAATCAAAACATTCTTTTGATTGAATTTGAACCAATGAAACTGTTGCATTTCGGTCAGTAACGGAGTCAACATGGTCATTGCAAATATCAAATTCAGGCGACGTCGCGCAGTTGCTGACGACGTCGCCTGGTCGCAGAGGATCACCACTCCAAAATGGTTAGATGGTACACCAGCAAGGATCGTGATACGCCCCAAAAATATGTAGTTTGACCACTCGTAATCCTACGGTTGGGGTGTTGGTTATAATCACCCTGTGATCCTTGAAAATACAGCAGGTGTAACACGCTCTAAGATCAGTCAGCCACACGCCACTACTGTCTTATCCATTTCTGGCTTGCGAGCACAGAAATTCCGCCAGTCACTCTCATCTTCCTCGCTTCCTCATAGCAGTGTTACGTCACCATGCTGACCCGCACTGTTATCAATCCCTGCGACCTTGCGCTCTCCTCGCTCCCCTGCCGCTCAGCTCGCGCACTCGCCCCTCCTCCCGCCGCGGCTCTCGTCGCGCGGCCGTGCGGCGAGTCCGCCATCAAGCCATGGCGTCCGTCGTTCAACGATTCTCTGAAGCGGTACGGCGGTCAAGTCGCGATCAAGACGCGGCTCCGCGTGCTGCCGCGCGCTAGCGCGACCCGCGAGCAACCGCTTCAAAGCCCGCAGAGCCCGCAAACGCCGGAGCCGGGGGAGATTCAATTCACCGCAGAGCGCACCGTCTTAATTCCCTGCCCGCAGGTTCGCGTGCCGGCCGCAGCTCCTGGAGCATCCGCCGGCAACGCGGAACGGCCAGCCGTCAGGGCTGCCGGCAGCGTTGCCGGTGACCGGTCGATAGTGAGCGTGGACGAGTACTTGGCGGAGAATACGGAGCGGATAGTGCGCGTGGTGTTTCCGGACTCGAAGCGGCTGATGCGGCTGGATGCGGACCTATGGCGGGTGTCAATGCTGCAGCTAACGTTCTTTAGTATAACTGCGACGCCAATCTGCCTTCTAAGGTGCGCTCTCTCGCGCCTGGCGGTGCCCTGCAGTTCTGTTGCCAGATTGCTTTCGCAAACGCAGTTTATAGTAATGGGGGATGTGTGGTTCGAACAGGGAGCGGCTGGGTTCGATATTGGCTTACGGAGTCCGATGGAGGGATTTATCAGTGGTTTGAATACGAATTAGTTACTCAGTTATCCGTAGTAGGGTGTTTTCCGTCAATGACCATCAATTATTTCGACTTGCTCTTTCAACGCAACACGTCTCACATTCACCAATGCAGCCCAGACTATTCACAGAGATCCTACTTCTGGTTCCCCTCCCATCTCCTAACATCCCATCCCCATCCCATCCCATCCCATCCCATCCCATCCCATCCCATCCCATCCCATCCCATCCCATCCCATCCCATCCCATCCCATCCCATCCCATCCCATCCTATTCCAACCCATCCCTTGCGTCCCTCCCCTTCATCCCAACCCTCGTCTTAACATCGCCCCTTCCCTCTCTTGTTCCCTCTGCTTTCACCCCCCACCGCACCATCTCGCCCTCCATCTTCCAGAGTGTATCATGACGGCACGTCTCTGCGTCTCTTCTCCAACCAGCTACAGCTGGACTTCATAGGCGCACCCGCCGCCATGCAGAACATTCCCTTCCGCCTCTTCCTCGACGGCCAGCTCACGCCCTCCCACTCCGCCTCCCCATCCTCTTCCCCTCACTCCTCCTCATCCTCCTACGAAGATTCTTCTGCTGGTTTCGCCTCTGACTCTGCAGATTGCCTTCTGGGTGGTTCAGTGAACCTGGCCTTTGCCGTGCGGCTGCCCATGCCACTCTCTCTGATTCCCAAGCCTGCGGTGGAGGCGGTAGGGAATGCTCTCATGGACGGGGTTTTAGCTGTGATGCAGGCCAGCCTTCTCAATGGCCTTGTGGAGGATTATACGATATGGGCGACGGAGGAGGCGAAGGAGAGGGCTGGTGGTGGTGGGGGACCATGGGCGGATGGGGTTCCTGCAACCATGGGTCAGCCTGGAGGTTTTGGAAGGGACGGGGCTTGATCGGAGCTTGGGAGTAATGATGTATTTGTTTGAAATCTTATGAGGATTGCTTGATTGAAGTTTCTTGTCCTGTACAGTGACTTATATGGCTTGTTTTGTCTAAAAACGGTGGAGCAGTATGGGATAGAGCATAAGACCACGTACGGTAATTTTGCAATAGTGTATTTATATAGCTCGCTTACACCTAAAACGACGTGCCAAACAGGTGTAAAGGTGAAAAATCTGGGTGCAGATATTTGTATAAGCTGAGGGGGAAAGGAGCCAAGTTCCATACAAGCGATCCAATTTTTGTCATTTGGTTAATTTTTTTCTTCGCCAGACAAAATCCTCAGCGAAAGATCTTCGCAAATGGACGGAGAGGACTGGGATGACCGCGAGGCCGGCGGATTTGGCGGCTTAGGCTCCGCGATGGAGCGCTCGCCGCGCGGGGACGAGCGCGGGGGCACGCGCGCAAGCAGATGGGGTCCAGACAAGCGCGACGGCGGAGAAAGCCGCGACGACAGGGCTGCGCGGGGCGATGAGCGGCGGGATCGGGGGGGCGATAGGCGGACGGAGCGGGGGAGTGATGGCCGGGGGAATGGCGGAGGATGGGGGGAAGACGGAGTGTGGAGGGACGAACGGCGGGAGCGCGAGCAGGGATACGGGGACAGGGAGAGGGGGAGGGAGAGGGACAGGGGGGGAGAAATGGACAGGTGGCGGGGCGCGGAGGGGGACGGCGGAAGGGGTCACGCGGGGGCTAGGGGAGCGGGGGGACGGCGCGACGGCGGGGAGCGTCAGCAGCGTCAGGAGCGTCGGGATAGAGAGGGATCGGATGCGGTGCCAGCGCTGTACTCGATTCACCGCGCGACGGTGCACTCGATTCGGCCGTTCGGCATGTTCGTGCGGCTGGAGGGCCATCGCAAGCACGGTCTCGTGCACCTGTCGCATGTGTCCGACTACGAGGTGCGTGTGCGACTACGAGGTGCGTGTCCGACTACGAGGTGCGTGTGCGACTGCTTTGGAGGGACTGCCATGACAAATCTGGCCGGGACTTTTGGCAAAATGACATAGCGTGCGGGGTTGCTCCTCGGGTGCGCGTATTGCTGTGTCTGTTGCTCAGTGTACAGATACAGTGCAATCTCGCAATACACACACGCATTGAAGCCCAGCTGTCGGACATCGTGACCCTCCATGCCCCGACGAATCTGCTGTCCCATGTAAAAACCCCGAATCCCGCAGGTGGCTAAGCGAGACGACACAGACGACGCAAAGGTGGAGGCTCTTAAAGGCGTGGCGGCAGAGGGCGAGCAGGTCTGGGTGAAGGTAATTAGTCTTAAAGACGAGACCGGCGCTGACGTCATCGACACGACTCCGGGCCTGCCAGGCTCGGCAAACATCCGGATCGGGTGCTCCATGAAGGTGGTTTCGCAAACGGACGGTGCGGATCGCGACCCGAGTAATCAACGGATAGGAGGCGGGCAGGGCGGCGGCAGCAAATGGCGTGCCCCCGTGAAATTGGAGCTAGAAGCGGTCTTGAATGTTACGTGCACACGGTGTGGGGGGCAGGGGCACTTAAAGGCGGAGTGCTATGGGCCTGTGGGCGCGAGCTATGAGCTTTTGGCGGATGATGCCGGGGAGGAGAGGATAGGGGTGGATGGAGGAGGGGGCGGGGGGGGTGTTGGGAGAGGCAGTGGGAGGGGTGGTGGCGGTGGCGGTGGTGGTGGTGGGTTGCTGAGAGCTGGGGGTGGTGGGAGAGGGGAGTTTGGGGGAAGAGGGAGGGATGGGGGGGATGGGGGGAGAAGGGGGATGGATGTGGCTGATGTGGACCTGAGGGGGAGGGGGAGAGGGCTGGCGATGACTCAGCCTGCGTGGATGACAGCTCAGCAAAAAGGGATGGCGATTGTTGGGGCGATTGGGGATGGTTCTGGGCGTGTGGGGAGTGCGAGGGAGGAGGAAAGGGTTGAGGATGGAGTGGGGCAAGAGGGAGGGGAGAGGGGAGGGGAGAAGAAAGACAGGAGGGGAGAGAGGGAGGAGAGGAGTTGGGAGAAAGAGCGGAAGCGAGAGGAGAAGGCGAAGGAGAAGGAGAAGGGATTGGGGATAGGGAGTGTGGAGGATGCATTGAGGATTATTGAAGAGATGAAGAGGGAGAAGAAGGAGAGGAGGGAGAGGAAGAAAGCGCGGAAGGAAGCCAAGAGGGAAAGGAGGAAGAGGAGAGGGGGTGATGGTAGTAGCAGCTCTGATAGCAGTGGGAGTGAAAAGAAGCGGGAGAGGAGGAGGAAGCGGAGGAGGGAAGAGGAGAGCAGCAGCGAGAGTGAAGGGAGTAGTGGTTCGAGTGATGAGCGGAAGCGGAAGGAGCGGAGGAGTCACAGAGACAAGAAGAGGGGATCCCGACACAAGAGAGGTGCGGGCAGTGAGAGTGATTGATACCAGAAGGGGTTAGTAAGGGATGGATAAAGTTAGGAAACTCTGTTGTTTGGATATAGGAATTGTGTATGCATTTCTTTCTGTATGGCACCATACTCGTATTGGATGTGGTTTGCAAATTGCCATACCATATGGTACTTTATACGGAAGCACTGTACAGTTTGTTCTAACTTTTGCAAATTCAAATGCCAGTCAGGAACGCTGCTGCTCTGTCACAGATCCAATACAAGCCAAGCCCGCCATTACAAGCGCGATCCTTTTCTGACCTCTTGTGCTCACTCGCAGCGTTTTCTGGGGCTGCGCAGCACTCTTGGCCGTTGATCGCTTTAGGTGCGACGCGGTATGCCGTGTATAAGCGCGCCGGCCACACTATACACGCTATTCAGCGATTTCGCCGTCGCCGTTTTCAACTTGCATTGCATACCCCCAGCGCCTTGGTCCGTCGCGTTCGTCCCCTAAGCCCTTCGCCGCGTATTCTGGAAATCTTGCTTCCCCTGATCGTGTATTGTGGAGAGCCCTCGTCGCCGTTCTCGACCGATCTCCACCAGTCGATTCTACTGCTGCCGCGCCTTCTTAGAACACAGCCTTCTTAGAATTCTCAGAAACCGCCTGCCTCCTGCTTTAGTTTTCGTGATAAATCGTCTGCTCCGCTCGACTGACGAACGCAGCGTAGTCCGCGGGAATCGACGGCGGCATGGAGAGCGGAAGGGGATGGGAGGATCTGCTGCAGAGGAGCCAGCAGCAGCTCTCGCGATTCTCCGCAACAGAGTCCGAATTCCCGCCCATTCAGGTGCCTCTGCAACAGATTTGGAAGGCCTGAAGCAGTCGCCAGTAACGGCTAGTCTAGATAGGTTATGCAACTTCTGAGGCACGTTTGCTCGCGATTCTGACCGTACCGCGGAGTGGGTAGGTTCATATGCGGATCGTGACGCAGCCGCTTTTCTTATCAGCGTTACGCCTCTCAGGGATCAGCTGATGATCTGTTCGCAATTCGGCACGAGTGCCTGTCGCTCCCATCATTCGGCCCGTCGCATGCCTTCCACCACTGCTCCCCGCTTTAACTCTTCCCCTCATCCGCTTCCCCTCATCCGCTTCTCCTCATCCGCTTCCCCTCATCCGCCTCCACTCATCCGCCTCCCCTCATCCGCCTCCCCTCATCCGCCTCCTCTACCTAACCTTCCTCCTTCTCCCCGTGCCAATCGCGCCTGAGGGTTCCCTCTCGCCGCGCTCCCCTCCCCAGCAACTGCTACTCTCTGTGATTTGCCACGACAACTCTCACACCCTCATCCTCTTCTCCCTCTCTTCCATTTTCTCCTCCGTCTCTCTCCTGTCTTCTCCTCCCTTTTCTCCCCTCTATCCTCCCGTTCTCATGTTCTCATCTTCCCATGCACTGCCGTGCGGTGCAGAGGAGTTTGGACCAGTTGGAGGCGTTGTCGCAGCAGCTGAGGGCGCGCACGTCGCGCCTGGATGCCGTCACCGAGACCAACGCCGCCACGCGGTGAGGGGGGCGGGGAGGTGCGCGCGGGGGAAGGGGGGGAACGGGGAGTGGGAAAAGGGAGGGGAGCGGGGAATGGGGAGTGAGGAGCGGGGAGTGGGTAACTGGGATTGGTGAGTGGGGTCCAGGGAGCGGGGAAGGAGGGAAGTAGTGGGGAATGGGGAACGGGGAGTGGAGATTTGGGATGGAGATGGATGGTATAAAGATAAGATACACATGGGCTCTAAGAGCTGTGGCGCCTCACGAACCATTTGTACCTTGATTCGAACCATTTCAAACCCTCTGTACACCTCCAACCTCAGTCACTCCAGTACCGCCTTACCCTCCTCCCCCTTCCCCCGTCTCCTCACTCTGGCGCACCCCGTCTCCCCCCCTTTACCCCTCCCCTCCCTCCGCCTCCCCCCACTCTGCCCCTCCCCCTTCCCTCCTCCCCTCTCCGCGCCCGTCCCTCTCTCCGCGCTTCCCCTTCTCTCCGCGCTCCCCCTTGCGCATGGGCGCGCAGGCTGTTGGCGCGCGAGGGCATCAACGCGGAGCAGCTGACCAAGGACCTGCGCTCCGTGCACCTCAAGGTGGGCCTCCATGCACCTCAAGGTAGGCCTCCATGCACCTCAAGGTGGGCCTCCATGCACCTCAAGGTGGGCCTCCATGCACCTCAATGTGAGTCTCTGTGTGTGTGTTTTCTTGACCCGCCGCCTCAGACGAACTGCGACGATAAAAAAAAAAAAAGTGTTTTTTTTCCTCCTTTTAAGGACCCGTGCTCTGTGCAGCCCAACCACTTCTCCGTCCCCTCCTTCCTCCTCACTTTATAGCATGTCTTCCCCCCACTCTATCTTCTCCCTCCCCCCCCACCCCCCTTCCACCTGGTGCCTGGCAGACGACCTTTGAGGATGTGCTGCCAGTGGATGCAGGCAGCGTAGAGGAATACCTCACCCAGGTACGGCCTGCCTCACCCAGGTACGGCCTGCCTCACCCAGGTACGGCCTGCCTCAGCCAGGTACTGCCTGCCTCTTATTGCCATATTGTGCCTCCCACCACCGCTCCCAATCCTTCTCCACCTTTTATCCACTTGTCCATCGGTCGTAACTCAGCCGCCCTTTGTAACCGTAACTGAAAGTGAAGCTGAAACTGTAACCGCACGTGTAACCCCACCCCCTCCAACCACCAGGTGCACGAGACGAGTCTGGTGATGGCGGTGCAGGCAGCAGTGCGGGAGAACACCGCGTCCTTCGATTCCTTCATGGCTCGAGCCATTCAGGACGACTGGCAGAGGGACAAGCGCGACCTGCTGCACGGCCTCACTCGCCTCAACCCCTCCTCCTTCCCCTCCTCCTTCTCCACTAATTCTGCTGGCTCTGCTGGTGCTGGTACTGTTGCTGCTGCTGCTGGTGGTATTGCTGGTACGCCTGGGAAGGCCCAGCAGCGGTTTCTCTCGGCGATGTCCCCTCGTTCAGCTGCTGCTGCTGCGTCCCCTGCCACTGCTGCTGCGGGGTTTGCGTCACCTGGGGGGGGCGGGAGAGCGGTGGGGGAGGCGAGGGAGGTGGCATATGCGCAGGTGGTGGGGGAGCTGAACGCTGCTGCTGAGCAAGGCGTGGCGGTCAAGGTGAGATGAATGTGGGGTTCATTTATGTCTAGTGATGCACGTTCCTTTTTGCACACCCTTGTTCGCTTTTGAGTCGACTCAAAAGCACACCCTTGTTCGCTCATGTTCTTTCTCCACACCGCTCCTTCTCGCTCGTCTGCGTGCCCCGTTGCACCTTGCCCCGTGCCCCGTGCCCCGTGCCCCCCCGTGCCCCGTGCCCCGTGCCCCGTGTCCCACTCCCCACTCCAGATGGCAACGGCTATGGCAGCGGCATATGAGAGGGCGACAGGGGGGGGAGGTGCGGGGCGAGTTCTGAGTCGATTTAAAATGACCCCGTGCCTCTCATTCCACGCCTCACATCCCACGTCCCACGCCCCATGCCAGGTTGCAACGGCTATGGCAGCAGCATATGAGAGGGCGACAGGGGGGGAGGTGCGGGGCGAGGCGCAGCAATCTGTGGGCACGAGGCAGATCTGGCAGCTGGTGCAGGTGCGATGGAGGGAGGGGGGGTGGGGGGGTGGGGCGGGGAGGGCAGCAAGGGTAATGTGCAGATAGAGGTTCACTTTGGAGTGTGACTCAGATAAGCAGCAGTCTGTGGGCACGAGGCAGATCTGGCAGCTGGTGCAGGTGAGGGAGGGAGGGGAGAGGAGGAGGGGAGGGGGAAACCTGGGGGTGAAGAGACCAGAGAAGACTTAGCAGTGAGGAGAGAAGAGTGGGCGCGAGAGAGCAGAGTTTTGCAGTGCGGAGAGATTAGCAGGCATACACCCATGGGTCCTTCCATTCCATCCCTCCTTTGAATTTTCTTAAACGGAATAAATTCAATCATCCCCGCCTCCCACTGGCAGAGTCTCCTGGGGGAGGACGAGCAGCAGCAGTCAGGGGCCTCTCTATCGCCATCACCATCCTCATCAGGAGCACCTTTCCTGCGGGGGGACCGCATGGGAATGGTGGTGGGGGCGAGGCGGCATCTGGAGAAGGGGCATGCTCAGTACATGCTCAATGTGATCCAGTCCCACCCCAACGAGGTATGGGCACCACACTCGTTTACTCTATATTGTCACACACACGGGGTCACTCTACTATAGTCACACTGAAATACTCAATATCACACAACTCGATAGTGACACACACTTATTCAGTAAATATGTAATCACACTACGTTACTGTATAGTCACACTGCCTTACTCTTGAATGACAGCTTTAGTCCCCTCGTTTCCCGCTCATCTCTCTCCTTGGCGTTCGATTGCCTTTTCTCCGTCCCTCCTCCTCTTCCCCGCCTAATAACTTCCCCCCCTGCTCCCCTCCCCCGCTTCCCCTCCCTGCTCCCCTCCCCCGCTTCCCCTCCCTGCTCCCCTCCCCCGCTTCCCCTCCCTTCTCCCCTCCCCTTCTTCCCCTCCCTGCTCCCGTCCCTGCCCTCCCCCGTTGTGCTGCTCCCTGCTCCCCCACCCAGGCATCACTGGGTGGTTCCACTGGCAGTCTTCACCGCGTGCGGGCCTTTCTCAGGGTAAATGCTCTCATAGAAATGCCTTCAGAGTAGTGCGCTGCCCTCCTTGCCTGCTATTTGAATCAAACTAAAAAGTGCTCATGCTCCATGTGCCATGTGCCATGCGTATGTGCCACGCCCTCTGCTCCATGCCTCATGCCCCATTCTCCATACCCCATGTTTCCCCACCTCTTATCTCACTCCCTCCTTGCTGCCTGCCATTAGGTGTGGCTGCAGGACCTAATGCCACACCTGCAGGACCAGGGCCCACTGGACTTTGATGCCACAGAAGTGACTCACCTCTCACTCCCCTCCTCCTTTCCCCATCCCCACGACCCAACCCCATACCATGCTCCTCCATCCCTCCCTCTTCCTCCACCTCCCATCAGGTGCGCCTGCGGGACCAGGGCCCTCTGGACTTTGATGCCACGCCCACAGCAAGACTTCATACCACGCTTCTCATCCCCCCTTTTCTACCCCCACTTCCTCCTTCCGCCGCCCTCTCTCCCCGCGCCCATCAGGTGCGCCTGCGGGACCAGGGCCCTCTGGACTTTGATGCCACACCCACAACCCGCCTGCCTCCCCTCGACACCACGTGGCACCAGGTGCGAGCATAAGTGGGCGGGGAGGGGCGTGGGGGGTTGGGTGAATGGCGTGGTGGGTGGATAGTGTGGTGCTGGAGGTATCCTATTGCCTCCCCTCGACACCACATGGCACCAGGTGCGCGCATAAGTGGGTGGGGAGGGGCGTAGGGATGGGATGGTGTGGTGCTGATGGGGAGGGATGCGACAAGCACGGAAGCAGCTCGTTATAATCTTCACACCAACTAGCATGGTAGCAGCTCGTTCTAATCCTCTCCGTTCCTCTCCTCTCCTCTCCGTTCCTGTCCTCTCATTTCCTCGCCTCTCCTCGCCTCTCCTCTCCTCTCCTCTCCTCTCCTCTCCTCTCCTCGCCTCTCCTCTCCTCTCCTCTCCTCTCCTCTCCTCGCCTCTCCTCTCCTCGCCTCTCCTCGCCTCTCCTCTCCTCGCCTCTCCTCTCTTCTCCTCTCCGCTCCTCTCCTCTCCTCTACGCTCCTCTCCTCTACTCTCCTCTCCTCTCCTCTCCCCCTCTCCACCACTCACACTGCATAACCCCTCTCCTCCTCACCCATCCTCTTCCCCCCCCACCCCTTTCCCCCCCTTTTAACAGATCTTCTACTGTCTGCGCTCGGGCTTCACCAACGATGCTCTCCACGTCGCACAGAACTCCCGATCCGCCCGTGCCTTTGCCCCCTTGGTACGCACATACCCTTTGCCCTTTGCCTTTTACCTTTTATGCTGCTCGCCCTCTTTCAGGCTGCTCTTGGTACACTGCTGCTGCTCTTGTCACACACATACCCTTTGCCTCTCTCTTACACCCTTTTCTGTTCACCTCCTGCCCGTCCTCGCCATCGCTCACCCTCTCCCCTCCTCCTTTACCTTTTTTGCTTACCTATATTCACCGCCCCATTCCCAACCTCCATTCTTTTACCCGCCCAATCAGCTTGCCACGTGGCTCTCATCCAACGGCTCGATCGACCCCGCCACCTCCGCAGCAGCAGCAGACGAGTGCGACCGCATGGCGCGCACCGCATCCCACTCCTCTCTATCCCGCCCAGGAGCGTCCTTCACAGGAGCAGCAGCAGGGGGGGCAGCAGGAGGGGTAGATCGCCGCAAATTCCTCCTCTATGTTCTCATCTCAGGCCGGAAAGCCTTAGCAGATCGGCTGTTACGTGAAGCCCCGTCTCTCTTCCCAACCATAGAAGATTTCATGTGGTTCCATCTTGCTATCTTGCGCCAGGCCGAGCCCTCCCCTCGCTCCCAAGCCTCCCCTTCTGGCCTCTCGTTTTCCGGCCGAGACAGGGGCGGGTGGATGGGCGGGTTCGGGGGTGCTTCGGGCGCCGATGCTGCTTCTGCCGCCACTGCTGCAAACTCTGGTGTGTATTGCACCCTAGAGAATCTACAGGCCTATCTGTCCCGCTTTGACCCATCATATTACACCAAGAACGGAAAAGACCCACTGGTGTACCCATACGTGCTGCTGCTGAGCCTGCAGCTGCACGCAGCAGTGGTATACCACCTGGAGAGTATAGATGTGGTAGATGCAGTGCACCTTGGGATTGCCCTGGCGCACTCTGGAGGCTTACAGCTGGCGATGCGAGGAGGGGGGGGCGGAGGAGGAGGGGGAGCGGCGAGGGGGGATGGCGCGGACGGGGGAGCAGGGGGAGCGGGAGCAGGAGGAGGAGCGGGAGGGGGAGGAGGAGCAGGGGCTGTTGTTGATGCAGAGGCTGACATAGCAGGGATTATTCGCAAGTATGCGGTGTCTGTGTTTCTGAGGGCCGGTGACGTGCGCACAGCTCTAGAGTATTTCTCAGTGGCTGCAGATGTGATTGCTGGGGGAGGGGCTTCGGGGCGAGGAGGAGGGGGTGCAACGAGGGAGCAGAGGAGGAGGAGGGCTACGGTTATGGAGGCGACTGTGAGAGAGGTGTTGAGGAGCAAGAGGGGGATTGAGGAGCTGCTGGGGAGTGGGGGAGGGTTGGGGGGAGCGGACGGGGGAGGAGGGGGAGGGGCGGGGAGAGGGGGAGGGTCGCTGACGCGGTTTGTGGGAGAGGAGGGGGCACAGAGGCAGGTGGTGCTGGGAGCAGCCAAGGACTGCCAAGACATGGGGCAGGACGAGGAGGTGAGTGAGGGGAGTGGGCGGGAGATGGTTGGGAAGGAGGGAATCAGAGAGGCAGGTGGTGCTGGGGGCAGCGAAGGACTGTCAAGACATGGGGCAGGATGAGGAGGTGAGTGAGGGGAGTGGGCTGGCGAGGTTAGGGGGAGAGGATTGGCGGAAGAGGGTCGGGGGAGTGGGTCGGGGAAAGGGAGGGCAGGGGACGTGTGGGGGGTTGAATCCAAGTGAGGGGTTTCATTGTGCACTGGTTGCTTTTCATCTGTGTGTCACAATGAAACCCCTCCCTTTCCATGCCATTCATCAGCTCACTTCCGCTCTCCCCACGCACCCCTCCTCACCCCACCCCACCCCATCCCACCAGTCCATACACCTACCGCTGAACTCGTGCCACAGCTACTGCCCTCCTTGTGAAAAAACGTTTCTCTTTTAAGAATCCTTCGCTCGTCTCTACTCTCACCACACATCCTTCGCTCGCTATACGAACCCCATCCCACCAGGCCGTACACCCCTATCGGTGGGCGCGTGCCCCTGCTTCTCTCCTTCTCCTGATGAACAATTGCTTCCCTCCTGCAACTCGTCTCTCGCCCCCCCCTTTTCCCCGCACAAACCCCATCCCACCAGGCCATACACCTCTACAGGTGGGCGCGTGCCCCTGCCGCCGCCCTGCTTCTCGTGAACGACCGTTTCTCCCAGGCACTGGCAGCAGTGGCGGCAGCAGCAGGGGCGGGCAGCACGGACAGTGCGGCTGTGAGGGCAGCTTCAGGGCATGCGGCGCTGGGGAATCAGATCATTGGGGAGGCTCCCCCTGCTGCCACCGCTGCCGCCGCCGGCACCGCTGCTGCTGCTCTGCCTGCAGGGGCGAGGTGAGTGAGCAGGATCGGGGGGAGGGGGCAGGAATGAGATGAGAGGCAGGGTTGGGGTGAGGGGGCAGGGGCAGGGGAAGCAGCAGGGAGGAGGTTAGACAGTAGGGGAGGCTGGGACAGCAGGGACACAGATTTATAGGACGTTGTATATCTGCCTTCCACTTCTTACTTTGACTGTGCCTTGCCTAGTCACACCTCCCCTCCAAATCCCTCACACTCTACCGTACACCCTTACCCAACAATCGCATCCTTCCAACCCCCCAACACCCACCACCAACCACCACCGACCGCGCTCCCTCCTGCACCCCTTTTCCCCCTCCCCTCCTGCCTTCCCCCTCCCCTCCTGCCTTCCCCCTCCCCACTCCCACCCATTCCTGCTCGCAGTTTCCCTGACCGCTCATCCCTGGCAGAGCAGCAGGTGGCGTTCCCCAAACACCAACCCCCGCACTTTCCCCCCTCTCTCTCCCCTTCCTCCTCACCTTCCTGCTTTCCCCCTCACCCCCCTCCCTCACAGTTTCCCCGACCGCTCATCGCTCGCAGAGCAGCAGGTGGTGTTCCGACAGCTGGAGTCCATCTTCCACTTCTACCTCGACTATGCCGCCTCACGCCTCCCCTCCAAAGACTCCACACCTCACCTTGCAACCCTACACAACAACCTTATCCTTCCACCTCCACATACCACCCAACCACCAAACCTTACACTTTCCCCCCTCTCCCCTCCCTCCCCTCCCTCCCTGCCTCCCACCTCCCTGCTTCTCCCCACACCCCGCCCTCCACCCCCTCCAGTTTCCCCGACCGCTCATCGCTCGCAGAGCAGCAGGTGGTGTTCCGACAGCTGTAGTCCATCTTCCACTTCTACCTCGACTATGCCGCCTCACGCCTCCCCTCCAAAGACTTCACGCCCTCCCTTACAACCTCACCCAACCTTTTCATTCGTCCAACCCCTCACCAAATACCATTCCCGCCATTCTTCCCCCCTTCTCCCCTCCCCCCTCGCTCCCCCCTTCCCCATCTCCCCTCTTTCCCATCCCCCGTTCCCAGTTTCCCCGACCGCTCATCTCTCGCGGAGCAGCAGGTGGCGTTCCGACAGCTGGAGTCCATCTTCCACTTCTACCTCGATTACGCCGCCTCACGCCTCCCCTCCGCACTGCAGCACCTCTCCGGCCTCCCTTTCCTTCCCTTTGCCGGCCGCTCCCCCGTTGCCTGCGCTGCCGTGCTCCCGAGCCTGCACCGAGCCGTGGAGGACCGGCTGCCGAAGCTGCTGGAGGACGTGCTGTCGTGCCTGGATCGGCTCCCCGATGCTGACCCGAACGTGCGAGTGCTGAGGAATAATGTGAGTCGCTGGGGGAAGGGATGCGAGGGGAAGGGAAGGAAGGAAGGAAGGAAGGAGAAGGGGGAAGGGGTGGGGAGCAGAGGGAAAGAAAGGAGAAGGTTAGTGGGTGGTCCAGTTTCTAGCTGTTGCGCCTGCTTTCAAGGGCATATGGCTGTTGAATCTTTGTTCCTTGCCTCTGCCTCACCCCTTCCCCCCCCTTCCCCAGAGCTCACCCACTCCCACTAAGCCCTCAACTTCTCCCTTCGCTCCCCTCACGCTGTCCCATTTCTTCTCCTCATGAAAGCTCGCCTCGCCTCCAACTAGTTTCAAGACATGTCAACGCATTGTCATCCATGATCTACTCTACGTACTACCATTCTTTCCTCCTGGTGCAGGTGCTGAATCTGGTGGCAGGAACGCTGCACCGCAACTGGCCTCAGCACATCTACGAGCTCGCAGCACGCATGCACTCCGTGCCCTTGCCAACATAATGCCAGCGTGCTACATAATGCCAGCATTCTGTTCCCTTATCAGGGTATTGCATGATGCATGAACCTTGCAAGCTTCAGCGAGCCATGAACCGTAGCTGGAACCTTGTATTGTGTTGAGATGGTGGCGACTAGGAATTCTTGCCTGCACACACAGGTTCAAGGAACATGGTTAGGTACTGGTAGGTGCTTTGGGCATGAGGTTAATGAAGACAGTGCAGGCCTCAGATGTCAGCGAAAAAAGGCTGATTCAGGGTCGGAAGGCTGATTTTCAGACATGGGAAGAATGTGTGGGCTGATATTTCAGAGATTTTTTCCAAGTGTACACTGATTGCTCAGCGTACTAACGAGGGTGTAGGCAGAAATCGCACTATTTCTGATTCATGTAGGAGCCGTGAGTTTCGGCTGTCTAGGTATGTTACGAGTGCAATTGAGTGAACGAACGAGAATTGCACTATCGAAGCAAGAGTACAATGAGCGAAGGCATGAGCGAAGAATATATACGGTAGCGAGACTACAGTGGTAACGATAATGCACTGTGGTTGTCGCGCGACGGGCCTGGGACTGAGGTTGGGAAAAGTGTCGAAGCGGAGGCCCGGAGCGCGGGTTACCCGCCGAGCCGTGAGGTCGGGGTGCGACGTGCGAAGGTGGCGGGCGGATTGTCGATGCGAGGATTGCGAGTGGTAACGGTGCTGACTGTGGTGCTACAGTGATGTACGCGTTGAGCAGGGACGCGAAGTAAGGAAAAAGAGATTTTCCTTACACTACCCCCCCCCTTTAAGGAGGTCCTCCTTACGAAAGCGCGTGTACATCCCTGAAGTTCCGGCTGCGCAGATACTCGGTGAGGACGGGGTGGTTTTGGATTCTGTCCAGGGGAACCCAATTGTCTTCGGTGGGTGTACGGTCCTTCCAGCGGAGTAAGAACTCGATCCTTCGGGCTCCTCGAGGGTCGCGAACTCTGTGACTCAGGATTTTCTCGGGGGTGATGATTGGTTCAGTTGGTGGTCATGTCATGCTGGCTGGGCGATTGCGTGGCAGTTGGCTCGTGGACGGGACGTAAGGGCGAAGTAGGCTGACGTGGAATGAGGGGCTGACGTACCAGTCAGCAGGGAGGAGGAGGTGGGCGGTGACGGGTGTAAGCATGTGGCTTATGCGAAATGGCCCGCAGTATCGGGGGCGGAGTTTCGGAGTGATGGGCAGTCGGAGGTTCTGAGTGTCAAGTAAAACTAAGTCGTCGGGCTGGTAAGTGACGGGTCTGCGGTGGCGGTCGGCGTTGCGTTTAGCGATGATGTTCGATTTTTTTATTGCGTCTACTGCCCGGGTCCGTGCTGCTTGTAATATTTCGGCGAACTGTTGCGCGCGTGGAACCGGGTTGTCGGGATTCGGGGTCATGGGTACTGTTGGGTCTTGTCCGTAATTCAGGTAAAACGGTGACTGTTGGGTCGTGGCGGATGGGGCGTTGTTGTATGCGAATTCGATGAGTGGCAGTTGCTGTTCCCACGTGTTTGGGTCGTCGCACGTGGCCCGGATGAGCTGTTCCATGGTCTGATTTGTCCGTTCTGTCTGTCCGTCTGTTTCGGGGTGGTACGATGAACTAAACTGTAGTCGCGTGCCAAACTGCTGCCACAGGTTCCGCCAGAAGTTGCTGGTGAATTTCGTGTCTCTGTCGCTGATGATCGATGCTGTTATCCCGTGCAGTCGAACGACGGTAGAGATGAAGAGGCGGGCTGTTTCTTCGGCTGTGATTGATTTTTTGCAGGCTGCGAAGTGTGCCATTTTCGTCAGTCGATCGACGACGACCAGGATCGCGTCATTTCCACTCGCCCCGGCCGGTAACCCCGTGACGAAGTCCATCGTCACCTGCTGCCAAGCACGCTCTGGAGGGGGGATTGGCTGCAATTGTCCCGCCGGCCGCTTCCGTGTTGACTTCATGATCTGGCAAGTGGGACACGATGCCACGTGTCGCTGCACGTCGGTCAACATTTCGGGCCAGTAATAATACCGCTGCAGCTGCTGCCGTGTTTTTTCTACTCCGAAATGCCCCGAAGTAACTCTGTCGTGTGCCTCCTGTAACAGTAATTCCCGTAGCAGTGTATACCCAGGTACCCAAATGCGGTCAGTCCCGGTTTTTACTTAATAGACTCCCTTTGCTGCTGCGAACTGCTGCGAATTTCCTCCTGTGAAGAATGGATCCGTCTGGTACCCGTGGGTGAATAGGCCTGTCAGTAGCGGGCTTGTCTGGGCGAGTAGTATTGCGTGGATCTGGGCAGTGGGGCGGGTCAGTGCGTCGGCGATGTTCGAGGCTCCCTTTTTGTAAGTGACCGTGTAGTGGAAGTTTGACTCGAGGAAATCGAGCCACCGAATCTGTCGTGGGTTGAGGTGGGGCTGTGCGCGGAGGTACTGTAGTGATCGGTGGTCTGTCCGTACTGTCACGTCTGCGCCGGTCAAGTAGCAGCGCCACACTTTGAACGCATGCACGATCGCGAGCATTTCGCGGTCGTGTATCGGGTAATTTCGCTCGGGCGGATGCAGTTTTCGTGACTCGTATGCGATGGGCTGTAGGCCGTTGCCGAAGTCCTGTAGCAGTACGGCTCCAATGGCGATGTCGCTTGCGTCTGTAACAACCTCGAAGGGGCGGTGTGGGTCGGCGATGCGCAGGACGGGCGGTGAACAGAGAACATTTTTCAGGGCAGAGAAGGCAGCATGCTCTTTCTCCCCCCACGTAAAAGCGACCCCCTTTCGCAGTAAATCCGTCAGCGGGGCAGTCAACTGTGCCATGTCGGGGACGAACCGACGAACATAATTAACGAACCCTAAAAAACTCTGCAGTTCCGTGATGTTCGTCGGGGGACGCCACGCTTTTACCGTATCCAGCTTCTTTGGGTCGATTTCAACTCCAGCCTCCGAAATAACGTGCCCCAAAAATTCTAGTCTGTCCCGAAAAAACTCGCACTTAGAGCCCTTGGTGAGTAACCGATGTTCCTCTAAAACTTTAAAGACTGCTTCGAGATCCGCTAAGTGCTGCTGCTTGTCGCGACTGTAGACGAGGATGTCGTCGAGGTAAACTATCACGCATTTATCTAAGAGTGGCCTAAATGCCTCGTTCATGGTCATCTGAAAAGTCGCCGGTGCGTTGGTCAGCCCGAATAGCATCACAGTGTACTCGAACGACCCGTACCTAGTCCTGAAAGCTGTTTTGGCGCAGTCCGATGGTTCGACCCTAATCTGATAGTAACCTCCCCGTAAATCTATTTTTGAAAAAACCCGTGCTGTTCGTAGTTGGTCGATCAGTTCGTCGGCGCGGGGAATTGGGTACCGCGACTTGACTGTTACCCTGTTGAGCGCTTGGTAATCGATGCACATGCGAAACCCTCCGTCTTTTTTCGGTGTGAACAGTATCGGTGCGGCGAACGGTGACGAACTTGGTCGAATAAACTGCTTCTCTAACAAGTAATCTAACTGCTTCCTCAGTTCGTCGAGCTCGGGCTGTGTCAGTCTGAACTGGCGCTGTACAGTTGGCTGTGCCCCTGGTTCTAACTCGATCCTATGATCATGCGCCCGCTGAGGTGGCAGTCCTTCCGGTAAGTCGTCTGGAAAAACCCCCGGGTACCGTTTCAATGGTTCCTGTAGTTCGGGCGGTACTGTTGTCAACAGTTTCTGAAAATCACTCGGCTGCTCTGCTTCCTCTACTACTGCGATGTCTACTGCGTACACGTCAGCCCCAGCAGCGACAGCCTGTTTCATTGTGATAGCGTTGACGTGTACCATTGAAGACTCGGGCGACTGCCAGCGAGGTAGCTCGACCCAGTTACCACTACTTCGCACGGTGCAGCTACCCGTCGTCCAGTCAATTCGCGGGTTATATCGTCGCAGCCAATCACGTCCCAGTAAAATATCGTGCCCATCCAGTGTCGTTGCAAGCATTTCCTGTGTAAACCCGAAATTTCCCCCGCAGCGGACTTTGACTCGCTCTACCTTCTCCCGTATGGCCAGTGGCGTGCCGTCGACTAAGCGTGCGTCTATCTCCGGTAAGCAACGGCTAAGTGTCAGCTGCAGTTTTCGTGCGGTTGCAGTATTAACTAAACTGTGGCTTGCTCCTCCGTCGATAAAAATCTTCACTGCTGCTCCCTGTATTTTCCCGTGGATCAGTACTGGGCAATCCGTCGTTGTACCCTCCTTATTCATCCGAGCCCGATCGATGGCGTGAATCGGTACTGTGACTCGGTGAGGGTCAGTGCGGTTGGGCGAGCAGGCAGTCCCGTCAGTAGTTGGCCCAACTTCTACTGACTGCTGGCGTTTCCCTGCCTCTGAGACTCCCTTCCCTGCTCTGCTCCGCGGCGCCTTAGCTCCTCTGGGCATTCGCTCTTGCGATGGCCCGGCCTGTTGCAAGCAAAGCAGCGCCCCTTAAACGGTGAGGCAGCTGCATTCGTTGCAACAGCGTTTACAGTGGCGTGCTCGATCGGTCCCCGAGGACGATGTCCGTAGTAGGACCCCGGTCTCGGTCGGCGTAGAATGTCGATTTTCTCGGCGAGCGCGAGAATCTCGTTGAAGTTTGAGAGTCCGCGCAGCATGATTTCGTGCGAGATATCCGGCTTCAGCCCTCCGACGTAATGGTCCACCCGCTCCGCTTCGTGCATGTAGCCGACCTGCTCGCAAAGTGCGAGAAAACCGCTCGTGTAATCTTGAACCGACCCGAGCTGCCGCCAAGTGCGCAATCTCTGACGCGCCGAAATAGAAGCCGCGATCGGCTCGAAGCGCGCCCGAAGCCCTGCGCACCACGCATCCCACGTGCTGTATTGGGCGGTTTCGCAGAATGAACTCCAGGTGACAGCTGGACCCGTGGGCCCTTCCTCTTGCAACGGTGGCTCGTAGGCACGTGGCGACGTCACGATGACTCGCCACCAGTCCATGGCGGGGCCCCTTAGCAGCGAAACTGCATACCGAATCTTCGCTGCGTCCGACTCGACGTAATTCGCGTCGAAGAAGACGTTCATCGTGAAGAC